TTATTATTACTATTACTACTACTACTACTATTATTACTACTAATACTACTACTACTATTACTATTATTATTGTTGTTGTTGTATTATTGTTATCTATAATTTATACAATTAACCTCTCTGTGGTTCGACCTCAGTCTTACTGAGTTATTTATTACTTTGACACTTTTGCACTTGAGAGAAGACATCAATCTTTTAGTCGTGTCACCTGGGTTCTTTGTTTTTAGATTCTATCCCTGGTCCTTTCTTCTTTTTGTTCCCTTTTTGTTTTTTTTTTTTGTCGTCCCCTTTTAACTTACCCTCAACCTCTACTTTTTACAGGGCTTTTCATAAAAAAATTGACCTTTATCTTTTTGGGATCATGATCTTCATGTGAAGAAGAATTTGGACTTCGTGTTATGGTAGGATTAGGACACCAACAATCCTTCCATTTTTGAACTATTGGTGATGTTTTCGTTGATGTTGTTGGTTGTAAAGCAAAGCTAGAACAGACAGGGGATAAGTGGTAGACCATTTGGTTGACGTCTTGGTTTGGTTTGTTGATAATGAGGCCTAACAAATAACTGTTATTTTTTGGTTTTGCAGGCGGGCTTCTTTATTTTCAGAAGAAGAAGATGAACAATGAATTTGAAATAATGTCGTTTTGAGATGGAAATGACTGTATTTCAAATTGGTCACTAAAGTTCTGACATCTTGTATTCAAGTCCTTATTCATAGACATTTCCTCTTTCTTTTTTATTTTTTCCCCTAGACCAATTGCAATTGGACCCTTGAATTTTAGCTTCATTTACAAAACATTCCTTGATTTTCAATTTAATTAATTCAATCCTTAATTGACTATTCAACTTTCAATTCATTTAAAATTCCTCATAGAAAAATCAATAGTAATTCTTTCATAGACATTTCCAATATTATTTTTCTAGTTTTAATTTTTCCAATCTTATAGGAACCTCAACACTATAAATTAAATATAGGGGGAAAACCCTACAAAGAAATACCCTATAAAAAAGAGAGAGAAAAAACCTTTTAAAAAAATAGCCACACGAAAATAATTTTTTTTTCTTTTGATAAAAAAAGGATGCTAAACTAGATGAGTTTTTCACCGTGCTAAAATCCAAACACACTAGCAATAATAGTAACCACAAGCACTAACACCTCCACATTACTCATCTCTCCTTCCATATCAATAAGGCACAAAATTACTAGCTATATCAATGATAGACTAATAGAGAGAAAAGAGAATTGTTAAAGCTTTTTAAGTCTTAATCTCACACCATAAATGAGTGATTTTCTTATTTGAAGTGTTTTCAAGTTTGTGCGATATTATTATATATGAATACATTATTCTTTATATCATTATGTGTTAATTGCTTTAAATTTTTTTATTTTTTATTTTTATCAATGAATCAACATATGGATGATAAAATCTTTAAGAGGGTAATATCCTTTAGATATTGAAACTTTTTACTTTTTTATATGAAAAATAATAAAATTTCCCACAACTCATAGCAGTGATCTTTAAAAGGCTTATGTTGATACACTCATATTATTCTATGTTTTAATACCATATTTTTAGTTTTTTATGCATGTTTTATCTCTTATAATAGCTCGCTTAACTTGTTTTGTGCTTAAAAATGCTATAGAGACCAAATGTAAAAAGAAAATAAATGAAGTATTTTTAGCACAGTTTTAAGTAAAGGACTAAAAAAACCACAATGGGATAAGTCATTAAGTTTAAATCCTAATTGTATTGGCAATCCAACTTCAATGAGGAATTCTAATAGAGCAAATATGCTAAATCGAACCTCTATATACTATTTGGACCATTTTTAGAGCTAAAAGTGGAATGTTTCTACAATTTAAGTTGAGTAAAAGATTATACATCTTAAAATTTTTATCCATATATGATAGGTCTAGTAATTCATCTAGATAAGAGAGAATATATATAATATTAGGCTTGAAATTTGTTGGCAAACTAGCATGAGTTTAGCCTAATTTTTCCATATTAGGATGATAACATGACAGCTCATTCATGATGTGGTTAGAGTCTCATATAACCAGAAAACCTTTTTATAAGTCATCAGAGTCATATTAGTATAAAAAAAATATCAAAGCAAATCTCATTTGGAGAATTTATTGTTCTTTATTAAGATTGAGTATGTTTTATAGGACTTATTTCTCCCTGTCATCCCTGTCATTATAAAAGCATTTAGGTTGAGTCAATGTAACCATGCAAAGACCTAAACTTTAGAAGTGAGGATTAAGTCGTGTTGTTAGGTATAAATCTTGAATCATTATTTGAAGTTTTAATAGGTTTTCACCTTTAATAAACATAAATCCTAAATCACACATTTTAATAGTTTGTCACCTTCAACAATAAACTCAAATATACCAGTTTAGATAAATTTTTAATATGGAAGCATAATAGGTACTCTTTATCATTAAAAACAAACATAAAGTAGCTTACTTTAACTCTAAATAAATTAATGTATAAATTTATGCGTGAAAAATATCGACTGTTGGTGTAAACCTTACGCTTAACTGTGTAATTTTTAACAAAAAATGATGAAAATTCTAAAGAAATGTTGTTATGATAAGGATATCTCTATTTGAAACTAGGAGAGACATCCGAAACTAAACCTTTAGTAAATGGTGCTTGTATATAAAAAAAAAAACCAAGTAAATGTATATCACCTTATTTTTAAAACTCATGATTCATTTGTTAAAACTTTTCACATATGTGTGTGTGAGAGAAAAGAGTATGAATAAAAATAGAAATGAATATTAAAGTCAGTTGAATGAACGATGACATGGTTAAATTAATTGAATATTAAAGTTAGTTGTTTGGATGAAGATATAATTAATTAATATTAAAGTCAATTATTTAGACAAAGATTTGAGAAATTGAATATTAAATTTGGTTGTTTAGACATTAGCTTGATTAAATGAGTATTTTAAGTTGGTTGTTTGAACGAATGTGATGAGTTAAATTAATATAATGATTGAGATAATAATATGAGACTTTAGTATTATAATTGATGATACCTTGTTATAGAAATGATAACCTTAATAAATAAAATATAACAGGGAAATATGTGTTATTTTTTTTTAAGGAATATGTATATATATACTTGATATTTATTGATTTGTTATTTGCATTGCATGTCTATTTGGATAACACTGATTTTATATCTAGTTGTTAAATAATTTTGTTTTAAGTATATAATATATGTATATAAATAACATAAATATAAGTTTTTCTATATATATAGTTCATGATGTAAAAACTCCTGTAAATATTTTGGTGTACTTTTAGTAATTATAATATATCATATGTCATGCAAGTAAATAATTAGGAAACTATTATATCATATGTCATGTAAATAAATAATTAGGAATTATGAATTTATTATATTTTGATTAACGTGGGTGTCAGAATTAGTTCATGTATGTTTCGACTAATTTCACGGTTAAAAAACTATGTAAACCTCTAGTGACAATCATATTAGCAAACACATGGCTCGAATTTGAGATTACAGGAGGAGCAAATTCTTTGATCCCAATATCTTACCACTAGACCATCTACTAGATGATTAGATCAAGACTATATTACATAGTCACTCAATGGATAAAAATTAAATTAATTGATAATATGTTTAAAGTTATTTATGATGTGGTAAATGATTATATTCTATTGATAAATTTAAGATCAAATTATATGGAACTAATTTTATACAAGAAATTAAATATAATGAATTTTTGAATGTAGTTTTATGTTAAAAAACCTCTGTAAATTTTTTATTAAAATTGAATAAACTTACTTAAATTAAAATATCACATCAAAATATATGAACAAATGGGTGTAATGATTTTTGGGTGTTATGAAGCATGATGATAAATATATTGGGCTCCTTAATGATGAAGTTATATAAAAAAGGAAGTGATTGATAAACTTTTTAAATAATTGGTTAATAATATGTAATGAATCCACTGGCCATTTTAACTGCAATCAATTATGCATTTCTAAACTTATAATTAAGGTATTATATTTAATTAGATTTAAAAATCAATGATTCAGGATTTAATCCAAACTCAATTAGCAAGTAAATCATCTAAGACATCAAACCAGTTAAAACTCACTAAAAGAAATAATTTGTTAATAATATATATATATATATATATATATAAGGTAGGTTTGTTTTT